TCTTAGGCACTCTGCCATGACAATTAAATCATAGGGAACTTCTGTGAAGTCTCCTGTGGAGTTTTCACTTTTTGTGTGTTTCTTTCTGTGTCCTGTGACACTGAACTTTTCTGGTCTGCCTTGTTTAGGTCACCACACTTGTTTGGCGTGATAAATTCACTAGACCAGCATTCTCACCCGGATGTGACTGTGCCCTCCCAGGACATTTCCCAATGTCCAGGGTCATTGCTCGGCTTGCTGCTGGGGTCACTGTGTATACCTAGGGCTGTTGCCCAGCAGGCTACAGTGCCCAAGACAAGCACAGGCAGACACTGCTCTCAGACCAGCTTCTTGCATCAGCCAGGCTGCAGCTGAGAAACCCGGAGCTGAACAATCCCATGAACTCTGTTACTGGTGCTGCTCGTGGTGCTGGGTGATGAAGGGAAGGCCTGGAGCTCGCCCTGAGCTGCACCTCCAGCCCCACGTCCTTCACAGGACCCTGCCGAGGTCTCAGCACAGAGGTCTGTGTGGAGGTCGGTTTTGTGGGAACCCAGAGGTAAATGGCGTTGATTTTCTGCTCCCAGGTGTGTGCGAGCAGCACAGAGACATGCACCTCCCTACCGAGGTGCCCACAGCTTCCTCTGAAGTCAGCACATGGGCCCTGCAGAGCTTCCTCAGAACCATATTCGGGCTTAGGAGGAGTGAGCCTCCTTTGGTAAAGAGGGTTTGCATCCTGATGAAAAGGAAAATCATCTGCAGAAGAGTAGAGTGTGAGTTTTTTGGATTAGAATGTACACACTTTACACTTCTGTAAGTGCAATTTCTGATCTAAGGTTGCTTCTGAATTGTGTGTTTCTCTCTTTTCATCCGTCCCGCTGAATCCCCCAGTCCTGGGCCAACCCCAGTGTGTCCTCTTCCTGCCCCCCTGCCCACAGCTCTCCCTGGGTCCCCAGCCTGCAGGAGGGGAGCTCAGGTCTCTGGGGCTCCTGACACCCCAGCTGGGCCTCAGCCTGTGGCCACCTTGGTGTGCTCTGAGGCTTCAGCAGGATGCTGAGCCTGGGGCAGCCGGCAGAGGGCCGGGGCAGCACTGGAAGTCCTAGCCTGAGAGAGGACAGGCAGCAGCTATGGCTTTAGGTGACCAGAGGGGGAAAGCAGAGCAGTCTATTAATGAAGCCAGCAAGCTCTGAGGTCCTTGAGGGAAGAGGTGCACTGCATGGAAAACTGGATGAGACGCTGCAAACACAGACGCCACAGATCACACCCGAAAGGACAATAAGCTTCATGATATCTTCATTGTAACTTTTTTTGTAGGTACTGGGAATTCAATTCAGGACCTTGCACTTTAGGCAGCCACAGTGCCACTGAGCTAAGTATTATTTCCACAATAAAATTTCCCCCCAGACTGGAGTGCATTACATTTAGGAGCCACGTATGGGCCATGTACAAACTCTTGCCTTCACAATAACTAAATTGCATCTCACCCAGGGATCCCTGTCCCTTTGGAAAAATCATTAATGCTTAATGACATTCCTTTGCAACACCATAAAATACAGTATAGCCAACCTCTGTCTCCTCCTGGGGCAGCGTGTGGAACTTTGCTCCTTTCATTGAAGGGTTTTCTCTATGCAACTGTGCTGCTGTCCAGTTTTCATTTCCATCATCACTGACACAAGAATCCATGCTAGCCAATGACAGTGACAGGTCCCTAGCAGAGTTCCAAGTTACAGTCAGTTATTTTTTTGTCCACTGAATAAGTGAACCTTAATATCCAGCATGGTATGTGTACAAGCTTTCTTTTGACAACCATCAAGAGCAAGAGATTTTCAAAGTCACGGAAATTGTTACAGAATGTGGCCAACCTAAATATTCTGCCCTTTGAAGGCATTAAAGGAATCCTGTGTGGCAGCCCTTGCATGCTACACTAGGCAAAAGACGCAGAAGAATCGAGATAGACGTGTGGCAAGATCACAGGACAGGACGTGGAGATTTCACACAAGATCAGGCGTGTTGGGTCAGCACAGCTGTAGACTGCTGCTGGTTTCTGTCACATTGGGGTCACACAGGAAAGGGTGGCTGGGCTGACTTCCTGCCTGCATGCCAGCTATGAGTTTTGAACAGTTGTTAAGCCAGTGACACAGCTCTGTTATTTTTCAAGGACTTTTTGATCTGATGTTCTCAATTTTGGAAAAAACCTTTCACTTATTGTTAGAACTTGGACTCCTTTTTCCGTAGCAGTGCTGAGAAATCCCAAAAAAATGTTTCCTATCTAAGGTCTCATTACATCAAGTAGATAAGAAGGATACTTTGACTTCCTAAAAATAATAAGGTAGGTATGAGTTCTGAGTGGCAATGATGGTTGCAATGGGGATTCAAAATTCTGAATTATTATCCTTTTCCTAAAGGAACTTATGCCCCTCAAATGTCTTTTGGTGGGAAAGGAAAGTTTTGTTAACTACTGACCTTTATTTATTTTATTCATCCCTGACTAAACATATGTTGATCACTCATCATATTATTTGGATTAAAGGGAATTGATGCTAGAACTTGGAGAACAGAAGTAAGCATATTATTTTTTGAGTGAGTCTCATGACATTCCGAGGCTGGGCTTCAGCCTGTGAGCTCAAGCCGTCCTCCTGTCTCAGACTTCCCAGGAGCTGGACCTCCAGCACTCTCGTGACCAGCTGCATTCTCTACCATCTTGTCCTGTATTAGCATGGACACCAGGGCAGCACAGTGAGACATTGTCCTAAATAAATACACAGACCGTGTCTGATGGGAGCCTTACCAGGGGCTGTCCCTCACACCGCGCCTCATTCTCCTCTGCAAGAGCAGCAAAGCATGAGACCAGTTACCTAAGCGGGCTCGTCGCCTTCGGAGTATAATTTCTAATCACAGCTTTAGCTATAAGAATATCACTTCATGCTCCTTTTAACTTGGGGAAGAAATTCTAAATCATAAGCTCTAGCTGGGTGAGACAAAATAGGTCAGTAATATCCCCAGGACCCTCAAGGCTGGGGCCTGAGCTTCCTCACAAGTCAGCAGCCTACCTGGGCCACATACCGACCTCCCAATGCCCAGCCTGAGCTACACCCACAGAACCATGCTCAAAACATAGGAAACAAACAGTACTCAAGGAACAAACCAAAAGCTGAGCTCCATGGGTGTGCTTCTCTGTGAGGCTTCTCAAGACAGGGAGAAACAAAATCCCAAAACACAACAGGACTCCTCTCTGAGTAAAGCTGGATGAACCCTGCTGAGGGTTCCCATGGGGTCAGGGCTTCCAGCAAGGTGACCCAGCTCCTGAGAGTGCAAGCAGCCCCAGTGGCCACTGGCAGGTCCAGCCCTGCACACCTCCACACAGGGCGCTGGCATCAGGGCTGCTGGCTTCCCAGGCTTCTCCTCTGGGTTCTGCATTAAAAATTCCAGGAAGAAGAGCGGGAAACAATTGCTGAATCACTTAAGGACAAACAACCTCTCATTCTCTGCGCTCATCTGTTAGCCAAACTTAGAACTTTGCCAGCAGTATGGTACCCTTTCGCCCTCTGAAACTCATGTGGAAATGTAATTCCCATGGCAAGATACTAAGACACAAGGCAGAAGGGGACCTTTAGAAGATTGTTAGTGCTCTGCTCTCAGGAACTGAGCCACTAAACCGGAGATCACCCTGGGTTAACTGAGCTTTGCAAGTGGACCTGGCATCAAAGAGGATCCTGCTGGATTTCTGTGGAGTTCCCTGTTTCTTGCAGGAGCTGCTTTCCATCACGCAGGGCTCTGTCTGCAGGAGAGTGTGTCTAGATGAGGCCCCTGCACCTCTGCCAGAGGAGTGAGCCCAGGGAATCCTGTCCTTTATACTCACCAGGCTGTGGTGCTGTGTCACTAGCAAGATAAGAGGCCTAGGCTGGGTATGGGGATCATCAGTGTGGAGGCCACTGAGAGGTTCCAACAACAGACTGGCACTGCCCAAGGGCCCCAGAGGTTAATCTCCTATATATGCAGAAAGGAGGGGGAAAGGTTATTTTTCCCTTGCTGGTTTAGCTTCAAGCCATCAATTAATGTGAACTCCTAGGTTTCCTTCCCCAAGCCTAACTCTGGATTTTCAGGATTCTTTTGTTTAGCATAACAATGCATACATTGTGTCAAGAAAGGGTTTTTGTGTGTGTATTAAGTGATCCCTGCCTCTCAGAGGCAGTGAGGGGGCATTATCCTAGGACAGGACAGGCACCCTGGGGTTCTGTTAGAAGACCCCAGCTGGCCTCACCCCAGGTCAGCCCTCAGGGGACGACAAGCCTTTAGATAAACTTCAAACAGGTCAGATAAGCCTGGGGGAAAGCTGTCTGCTGAAAGCTTCCCAAGGCCTGTGCTCCTCTGAACATGCTCAGGATTGCTTCCCTTGGCTTCCAGCCTGAGGACTATGCTGGGTGGACACAGTGCAGGTCTCCGAAGGCTCAGGAAACTGGCCCTGGTTGGGGTCCCTGCCCCTGTGCCCTCGGACAGAGGACAAAGTCAGCATCCTGAGTGGTTCCACTCAGTGTCAGCCCCTGGGCTGCAGGAGCAGGACAGCACACACAGGAGGCCTGGCTTAGAGGAGGGCTGGGCTCCTGGGAGCTGGAGCCTGGGCTCTGTGTGTGTCCTGGGCAGGGACTGACCAGAGATGTGGGACTGCTGTGCAAACACTGGAAATGCATCCCAGGGTGCCTTTGTGTGGAGCTGACACCTCCCCAGGGAGGTCTGAGCTTCCCAGGCTCCTTTGCCTCCTGGAATTAGGAAAGCCAGGCTTGCTATGTGCCTTCCCTCCTCTGACTTCTGTTCATTCTTTGTCTTTTGGAGGAGGCTGTAGTGGGGTGGAACCCAGGACCTGTGTACAGCCACACTCCCTGCTCCCCTTTTTTAAAATTTTGAGATGAATTCCTAAGTTTTCCAGACTGGGCTACAAGTCACCTTCCTCCTGCCTCGGCCTCCCCTAGTGCTGGGGAAAGAATCAGCCCCCCCCACCCCTTGTTTCTTCAGATCGTCAGGGTCCTCCAAATGTGCTTTCACTTTCGAAACTGAATTCAGGATTCCTGAGTGAGGCTTGGAGCTGTGCTTCTGTGATAAGGATGCCCCCTCCTCCTCTGCCCCAGGCGGTCCTTGTTGTCTTGGAGAAGAGCAACCGGGTGGTAGGCGGGGACAAGGGACCAGAGAACTAGAGAGCCCCGGCCCCTGCCTCAGGAAACTCCTGCACTGCCTGGCCAAAAGCCCCAGCGTCCGCGCCCGCCAGACACATCTGCCAGCGCTCCTGCCATCTTTGGGCGGGGTCCAGGCTCCAGCAGGGCGAGACCAGGTGGGTAGGAGAGACTGGGCTGGGCGGGGCGGGGGATAGACCTGGCTCAGCCCCTGGGGTTGGAGCTGAGACCCGGGAGGCCAGCCCGTTGGTTCCCTAGCCACAGCTCCTGGATTGGAGGGGACAGGCAGGTGGCCACGCATGGAATGGTCCCGGCCACGCCTGAATCTGCCCTGGCGCGGCGTCCCCTGCAGCAGCCACGCCCAGGTCCTATTCTGTCTGAGCTACCCGAGCTATTGTGCACAGGCAGCGCCCCTGAGTATCTCAGAATCCCTGCCATTCACCCCAGGAGACTGAAGCCATCTCTCACCTGAGCACATGGCCCCTGAGGGACCGGGTCCTTATCTCCCACTGCCCCCAGGCTGAGCCCAGGTCACTGACAGGGGCTGCAGCACAGTGGTTAGGTGGCTGTGGGGGGACGTGGAAGGGGAGGTGACCTGGGCAGCCAGGGATGTTGGAGGAAGCCAGGAGGTAGGGACCTTCTTAGTGGATAGAGTGCCCTCAGGGCTCAGAGACCACTGTTAAGGGGACCCTGATGGGCAGAGGGAAGAGCAAGGAGGTCCCTACTGAAGTAGAGCAGCTCTGGGGCTCTGTGATAAGAAGCTAAATTTCGGGGGGCCAGGAGTCCAGGACCCCTGGGTGAGATGCTTGTTTCTGGTCTCTGCCTCCGGAGCTGCAGCATGAACGCGCTGTGTGAAGCCAATGGCGCCTTTGCCATCCACCTCCTAAAGCTCCTGGGTCAGGACAACCCCGAGCACAATGTGTTCTGCTCTCCTGTGAGCATCTCCTCGGCCCTGGCCATGGTCCTGCTGGGAGCCAAGGGCAGCACAGCGGCCCAGATGGTCCAGGTAGGCTGGTGTCTTCCAGTCTCCTTCCAGGATGGGGCTCCTTCTTGTTTGTCTCTGTGGTCTTTTGTGGTGGTGGCAGAACAGGGAGAGTTTCACCAAGTAACACCTCAAGGAAGACGCAAGATTTTGCCTGGCACTGAGTTTAGAAAATGAGCCGAGCCCCACTGGCTTTGTGGTGGACAGCAGCCCTTGGGTTCCATCACCACGCCTGGCTGGTAAAGGGTGGCAGTAATGACTCAGTACCATCATTTCCACGGTTCCCGTACGTTATTCATCTTGTTATTGGTGTCTGATTTAATACACTGATGTCAGAGACTAAAATCTGTAGGGTGTTTTTTCTGCACTAGGATGTCATGCAAAATCTTTATACCTAGCTGTATCTTTAGGCTTTCTTTAATTTAAGATAAGATCCTACTGAGTCCCCAAATAGACCAGTCTGACCAAGAGCTTGAGATCTTCCTACCTCGGCCTATCAGAGTGAGAATTACAATTCTGTACTACAGTGCTTGTCTGTAATTTCTGTATTTCAGTCAATTGAGAGTGTTTATGTGGCCTAATATGTACATTTTTGAAATATTAATGTAAAACTTAAAATATACATATGGACTCTGTAGGATACAATTTTAAGAACTCTGTTTATATTCTGTTAATCATGTTACATCTTTTATACCCTTATATCCTTTTAAGATTGCCACTGTGGTTACATTTCTTACATTTTTAGTGCTTTTAACTGTTACTTTCTCTTGTTGCTGAGACAAAATACCTGACACTCAAAACAAAGGAAGGAAAAGTTTATTTAGCTCACAGTTTGTGGAGGTTTAAGTGTGTAATCAGCTGACTGCAAAGCAGGATGGGATGGCACAGAGGGGAACACTTCAGGCAGCAGAAGACAGTTCAAGCAGCAAAAGCAAAGCGGTGGGGGAGAGCAAGCCTCTTTCACTCTCTTATCATGTAAGCAGTCTACAGCTCCCACGGGTGGGTGTGACTCTGGCATCATCTCTTCTTGGTGCAGGATGAGAATGTTTATAACGTGAGGCTCTGGTCCCCTGCTGAGTCATTTACTTCTAGATTTCTCAACTTGACACAGCGTATCAATCATTACACTCTTTCTTTTAAATGAAAATAATGTTTCTGGTGTATTGCTGGCCAGCAGGAGATGCAGGGCTTTACATCAGCTGCATTCTGAGCCTTTCTGGCCCTTTTCAGTTTGCATTGTTCACCTGGAATCTTCAGCAGGCAGAAGAGCCACACCTTTGGCTGCCCTGTTTCCTGTCCCTCTCTGATCTCTGCACCCCTCCTCCCCAGCAACACCTCTGTAGTGTGCACTACTCAGTTAAAGTAAAGCTGTGAGGTGGTGCTTGCCTGCAATCCCAGCACTCAGGAGTTGGGGCAGGAGTTGGAGTCCAGCCTGGCTACTTAAACAGATCCTTGCTTGGAAAAACAAAAACAAAAAAAAAAAGTACAACAATAGCAAGAACAATTAGGTCCTTTCCGATCCTTGGAACAATTAGTTCCAAGGATACTTGAAAGAAAACATTTTTTTAGTAACCTCTTTGTGAGCCAGAAGACCAGTCTGACCGTGCCCATCACTTCCTTCCCAGGCGCTGGGGCTGAGCTCAGTGGAGGACCCTCATGGAGGCTTCCAGTCGCTTCTCCCCCAGGTGCACAAGCCTGGTGCTCCGTACTCCCTCAGCATTGCCAACAGGCTCTTTGGAGAAGAGAGCTGCGAATTCCTGCCCGTGAGTTGAGTCTCCCAACAGGAAGAGTTGATGTAAAATACCTGGTGGCCCAGAACCCAGCAGAAGGACACTAGAGAGCTTGGGGACCAGACAGGCAACCTCCTGTCTTCAGAGGACCATGCCCCGTGAAGCATTACCTTCGAGATGCCCCCATTTGACTGGACCAAGAGCTCCTCCATTCACATTTGCTTTTCCCAGACTCAGCACACCCCCACCTAGAAACTGGTATCCCACATCCCAGAACCACCGGTCTCCTCAGCCCCTCTCAAGGTTTCAGAGAACCAGGGAGCGCTCAGCAGGCTTGGCAGCCCCCAGCCTTTCCTGCAGCTCCCTGGCTCACCCGCCCTGTCTCTGTCCCCAGTCCTTTCAGGAGTCCTGTGTGCGCTTCTACCAGGCCGAGCTGGAGCCGCTGTCCTTCGCCACAGCCCCAGAGAGGTCCAGGAAACACATCAACGCCTGGGTGTCCAGGAAGACTGAAGGTCAGCAGGTGGGGGCCCTTCTGCAGCTCCCCACTCTCCGCCTCTGCTCCCTGCCCCCTACTTCTTGTTTGGGGGTGAACTATCTGAACATCTGCACCTGCTCGTAGCCTTCCTATTTCTGCGAACAAAGGAGACAGTCGCAAAGCCAGGCAGTTTTCCATTTAAGGCTCAGCACTTATTCCCCATGTCCTCCTGGAATCTTTCCCACTCTTGTCCTCTGGAAGCAATGATAAGCAAGGATACTGTCAGCTCAGGAAAAGGCAGCCCTGGATGTCCACGGGCAGAGGAGGGAATCCACTGGCCCACACTGCCAGCTAGCTCTCCAGGCTCCAACAGTAATCTCTCCCTCCTACCCTGGCTCCCAGGAGCCCCTCCAGTGCCCATCAGCCACCTGCCTGCCTTGCACCCCTTTCTGCCTGCCTGTGTCACCCTGCCTCATCACTGCCTAAGGTGACCTCTGAGTGTCAGCCCAGAGCCTTAAGCCACATGCTCCATGGGACCTCCAAGGGGACCTCAGTGCCCGCGCCAAGCATCTCTCAAGTCGTGCCTGGCCTGGTCTCCAGCCTGTCTCTTCTCATCTCGCTCTCCTCGCGTGACTCAGCAGGCCCTCACCTTCCTCCATTGAATGGATGCTCCCCAAGTGTCCTCATGCATGAACACCACATCTAGGCATTGTTACACACTTTTCAATCTGTAAGGACCCTATCTTGACGAATCTGAAAACAACCTGTTTAAATCTGCCGGATGTTGTGCTAGAGTTTGTTCATCTCGTGTTTAAAAGGAGCCACTAAATGTAGGCTTCTCTCTTCTCCAAAGGCAAAATTCCAGAGCTATTGGCAAAGAACTCCATTGATGAGGAGAGCAGGCTGGTTCTCATTAACGCTGTGTACTTTAAAGGAAAGTGGGATGAACAGTTTGACAAGTCCTGCACGAGGAAAATGCCTTTTAAGATAAACCAGGTATGGAGCTTTAAACAGCATCATTTGATAAAGAAACTGAATAGGTGCCGGGGACTTAGCTCAACAGCATAAATGCCTGCCTGGCAAGCTTGAGGTCATCAGTTTGATCCCTGGTACCAAAAAAAAAAAAAAAAAAAAAAAAAAAAAAAATACTAAATAGAAAATTTTAAATTTGCAAAGGAATAAGTAGTCCTTTGAAGCAGTATATTTATGGTTGGATTTTGAATCCCTTAAAAAAGTATAGGAGTAAGAATATTTTATGGTGGTGATTTTTTTCATCATATTACTGTTCTTTCTGTCTTGGTGATTTCTCTTACATCTACTGCTGGAAGCTCTGTGGGAACTAAAGAGTTTCCTGTAAGTCCGGGTTGCATAGGTAGAAGCAATTCAAACCAGGTGGTAAGGTATTGTGACATATGTTTAGGATGCTGGGTAGGGTACAAGGAAAAAACTCATGAAAACATTTGCTTTTATGAACTAATGTGGAAATTAAGTAGTCATATAAATCACTGATCTGAACTTAACAATTGTTAATCTGCTCCTTGCCATTTTCTAAAATGAAAACCAAGTGGCAAGGACCCTGTTCTTGACACTTTTAACTTCGCCTAAAGCAGAAGTTAACATACTTTGCCAAATGCTCTCATTCCTTAAAAAACAGAAAGCATCACAAAGAACTAAGTAGGAAAGGCAAAATTAGGAAGTTTATGCATGCTACGGTACCACTCCATTTTAAATAAACATGCAATTTATGGAACAATTCATTTATTTTTTGTGAGAAATTTGGGGGCATCTCACAGCCGAGCAATAGCATGTGGAAAACTCACCACAGCAGCCTATTCTATTTTGCTGGCCAGAACACCTCCCCAGGCTCTCCTGCCTCTGTGCATAGTCCATCTCTTTACACTCTGTGGGAGGCGCCCAATGAGGTTTCCCAGGGGTGACCCGGTCACAGACACCATTCCCACTGGGGGCATGGGCCACAGGGGCAGCTGCTTCTGACAGGTGTCGTGTTCCTGGAGGAGCTGATGACCATGAGCCCCTCTGCTCCCTCTCAGAAGGAGCAGCGGCCAGTGCAGATGATGTTCCAGGAAGGCAAGTTTCCCTGGGCCCACGTGAGTGAGGTGCGGGCCCAGGTGCTGGAGCTGCCCTACGAGGGCCAGGAGCTCAGCATGGTCCTCGTGCTCCCAGACGAAGGTGTGGACCTCAGCACGGTGAGACGGGGGTCTGGGCCTGTGTGTCTGCTGTCCTGCCCAAAGCCTCTGGTGACATACCTGTGTCCTTTCCACCACAGCTACACAGGCCCGCAGTCCTGCCCTGGCCATCTCTCTGGCCTCTCCCGGCCTGGGATGCTTTTCTCCCAAAGTCACTCAGAGTCCTGCCGTGTGTGTCCAGCGCTGAGCACCCCTGGGAAGAGCAGCAGCCTGGGATGATAAGCTCAGCACCACTGATGAGCTGGGGACAGAGCGCAGGACAGGAGGACACCTCATTTGTCAGGAGGAAATGGCAGAAGATAGAGAGCTGCCCCAGACAGGGTCAGGGGCCTGGAGAGCTTGACGCCCATGGGCCTTTCTCTCTGTCTCCCCTCGCTGTTTTGGGGACCCTCAACCCCTGGACCTTGTCACAATTCGCTTGGCTCCCTGGGGGCTGTCCTGGGATTAAATGGGCACCACTGCCTATGTGGACATTCCTCTTCGTGGGCTTCCTGTGACTTCTTTCTGCCCTTTGTCCCTCCAGGGCCTTGTCTTGGGGAGCAGGTGACTGGTTGGGAGGGGCGTTTGACAAGTCAGTTTAGTGTCAGTGGGCCTTGTGTGGGTCAGCAGTGGTACCCCAGTGACTCTGCAGTGAGGAAAACATATGAGCACCTGCACAGGTATGAGCCCTGTGAGCCCACTGTGAGCCCTGGGGGGAGCTGTCCTTGTACTGGTCTCTGCCACTCCTGCACCCTGCATGGTGGCAGGGACACCATCCCGGCTCAGTGTGCCCAGTCTCTGGGCTCTGCCATCTGCCTTCCCTCTGATGTAAGTCCCCCTGCCACTCATGCTCTCAGTGTCTTTCTCCGTCCAGTTTCTCTTTTTCTCTCATTCCCTGTCCTTGTGGTTCTTTCCAGGGACTCCTTCCTGCAGGCAGCTAAACCCGTCCAGCCAGGCTTATCTAGAAGCCTCATGAGGCCCCCACTCTGCACTTTGACTACAGGCAGACCCAGTCCCCTGCAGCCTCAGGCCCCTGCCCTGGGTGGGTCAGGGCCACAGCCCTGTGTCCCTTGTTTACTATCACTGGTTTGTCCCTTTCAAAACTAAGCCTTGGGCACAAAACCAAAGACTCATAAAACTCTAATCCCCCTCTGACACCTGAGTTTCAGCCCCTGGCACAGATGTGGTTTGGGGTGGTGGGGATCAGGCACCTCTTTCAACTCAGGAAGCAAGATGTGGTGGCATCTCAGAAGCAAGCCCATGCAGGACAAGCCCGCAACCACACAAGATTGTTGGAGGCTACAGGGCTCAGTCCATGGTAGTCAGTACTACCCACCTGCCAGAGGAGGTCAGGTGCCCGTGGAGGGACAGCTGTGGGTGCCACTGAGGTCTGAATGCTAAAGTCTAATCCTGTGTTGCAGGTGGAAAAGAGCCTCACTTTTGAGAAACTGCAAACCTGGACCAGTCCAGAGCAGATGAAGCAGACCGAAGTGGAAGTTTTCCTGCCGAGGTTCAAGCTGCAGGAGGACTATGACATGGGCGCCGTGCTGCAGGTCCTGGGGGTAGTGGATGCCTTCCAGATGGGCAAGGCCGACCTGTCTGGGATGGTGGTGGACAGTGAGCTGTGTCTGTCCAAGTTCGTGCACAGGAGTGTGGTGGAAGTCAACGAGGAGGGCACGGAGGCCGCGGCGGCCACAGCAGTAATGGTGATTCCCGGGTGCTGTCTGAAATCTCTGCCTGTGTTCTGTGCCGACCACCCCTTTCTGTTCTTCATCAGACACAGTGCGACCCACAGCCTGCTGTTCTGTGGCAGGTTCGCATCTCCATGAGGGGTGCACCCCTGTGCATGCAAGCAGTTCCCTCTGAGTCTCCAAATCCCAGCCCAAACTCCTTGAAGCATTAAAATCTAAGTGTGGTCTGGGGGCAGCCTGGCACCATCTGAAGCATGGGTCAGCACTGTCATACCGTGCACAAGCTGGGCTCTCTCCTCACTGACCACTCACTTGTGCCATGCCACCAAGATCTTGGGACTGCAGATCTTGGTGCTGAAGGTGGGCTGCAGAGCACCCCGAGAGGAGCCCAGCGTTATCTCTGTGACAGGCTCAGGTGCAGAAGGCTGATGAATTCAAATTTAAGCTTGCTATTGGTGGTAGTGAAGGTGTGATGGGGGGTCACAGTTGTGGGGAGGGCAGCTCTGTGGGAGGCGGGGCATCTCACCCTGTTTTGAAGGCCAGCTGTGGCATATCAGGGGAAGTGACAGGGTGACACAGTGCATCTCCGGGAAGCCCTGCTGCTTCACAGCAGCCAACTGGGGTTGCTGGAGGCTGTAGATGTCACCAAGGCCAGGCTCCCTCCCTTCCTGACCTCAGCTGCAACAGGACGCCCTCTCCCCCTCCTCAGGCCACAGCAGCAGGTCCACAGGCAGCAGCAGGGCTAGTGCCAAGGTCAGCAGAGGACCCACAGGAGAGAGCCACGTTGCTCACCCAGACAAGGTGTCCCCGCTGCAGGGAGGGCAGTGGGGCAAAGGGGACCAAGGACACAGGATGCAAGGAGTTGAGGCCCCCAGGTGACCACACCACTCTTCTCTCAGGGAAATGGCGAGGTCAGGATTTTTGACTCTCCCAGCCTCCTGATTCAGCCCTGAGGACCCACAGTCTGGCTGGATCAGGTGGCCTGGGATTTGCTCCTCTGGCTGTGTGAGGGGTGTGGGGAACCCCTCCACACACACACAACCTCTGCTCAGTGTTCCTGAGCCCCTACGCCGGAATGCTGGCTGCAGACCTCAGCCCATTTGGATGCAGAGGGATGTGCAGGCTGCTGGCCTTGAGGTTTGCATGGAGACCCTCTGTCATGTAACTCAGCCTGGAGGGGCCACCTGACCTCCCCTGGCTGGCAGAGAATCCTGAACAAACCCCAGCCCACACAGAATGAGCACACTGCACGTTGTTCTGAAAACACAGCCAAAAGTTCTGTGCTCACTGTGTGAGCACACACTCGCGGTGTGCTGAATGCATAACATGTCCCAACTAGGACAGTTGGAAATAAAGGACACAGTGACAACTGAAAACACTGCTTCACTGTGAAATTTATTTGTTGCACACACAGCTCACAACACCATGTTGTGCCCCTGAAAACAGCTAAGAGAGTCGCCTTTACCTGCTGTCAGCAGACAGAGGAGCTATGCGGGCTGGTGTGCATGTTTCCGGGCTTGACCTAGCCATTCCCCATGTGAAGTTGTATCACAGCCAGACTGAGGCCCAACAAATACCACAATCTGGACTTGTCCATGAAAACAGGAGTTAGAGAGGAATCCTGGTGATGAGCTGCCAGTTTGCTGTTAATTCAAGTGTAAAGGCAATTTGAATGTGAAGGAAGTTTTAAACCATTGATTTCTTGTACTATTCAAGGAGAGGACTGGGAAGGGCAATCTGTTCACATAATTAAAAACCTAGAAAACTCAGCTAGGCCTGGACATCCCCCACCAGCTGCAACTTGTAAGATGAATATAACTCTGGCCATGCTCTTGTTATACAGCTTGCTTTCAAGATCTCCAGGACACACTGGCTCACTTAGAGAGGATCACTGATTCTTCCTCTAGATGCAATCCTGACCTCCCCACTTCTTACACAGCGGTACCCCATTAGCCTACTGAGAACAAATCTGCCTGACAATGTAGGAACCCACCTAGGTAACCAATTATAAACTAACTCGCTGTCAGATCCGGTACTTCCTGCTCGCTAACCTATATAAACATAACTCAGATCTGACTCGGGGCTGATGATTTGAGACTGAGATTCACTTCATCCCGCTAGTGTAATGACCCCATGCCTTCGAAAGTTCCACTGGAACTGTGTCTTCCATCTGGTCTACTCCTGAAGCATGTAACTAAAGCAGGCTTAAAAAGAACCCTTCTCAAAATATTGTTGAAAAATATATTTTTCTCCAAAAGATTAAATATAATGTGTCTATGCAAAAAAACTTAAAAAAACACTCATGATCCTTTAAGTATTAAAAATTAAGCAATGTAATTATTTGCTGTAACTGAATTATGCTGCCCATAGCAATGAATTCACACATTAGAAAAACAGATCAAGTTCAAATAAGTAATAATGAACCTCAAGCTTCTACCAAAAGTAGAGCAAGTTAAAGGAAGAGCAAGATTAACCCGAGACCCATGTCTCCCACCGTGCACTAAACGGAACTGGAACAGGTCAGAGATACACTGTCAAAGAGAAGCACAGTGAGCTGGAAGACAGAATAGGTAAAAGAAGGCAAGAAAATGATAAAGATCACAGCAGAAATTCATCTATTTAAGACTAACAAAACCATGCAGAGAACCAGTGAGTTAAAGAGTTGTTCTTTGGAAGGTTAAATAAAATAGACAAATGCCAGGCCAAACTAATAAAAACAAAAGGAAGAAAACACTTAAATTCATGCAATTAAGTATGAAAAAGATGCCGGAGATAGCTCAGCAGTGTAAGCGCCAGACTGGCAAGCACTAGGTGATGAGTTTGATCCTTGGTACCAAAAAAAAAAAAAAAAAGAAGAAGAAGAAGAAGAAGAAGAAGAAGAAAGAAAAGTAAAAGGTGAAATCACAGTGGGCCCTGCAGAAATCCAGATCATAATACTGACTTTGAGAACCTCTACTCCAATCAGATGGAAAATCCAGAAGAAATGTACAGATTCCTATATATGAATAATTACCAAAGCTGGTTTAAGAAGATATAAGACTTCTAAATAACTCGATATCAGTTAATGAAATCGAAGATGTAATTTTTAAAAACTTCCAGCAAAGAAAAGCACGGATCATGATGGATTTCCTGTTGAATTCTTTAAGAACTTTACAGAAGATCGAATGTCACCATTCCTCAAACTGTTGAATGAAATTGGAAAGGAAACAGTATTTCCAAATGCATTCCTGGAAGCAAACATTATCCTGGTTCCAAAGAGAATAATGCAAACAAAAAGGGGGCAACAGAATAATCTCCTTAATGAAGATAGACGCAAAAAACCTCAGTAGGATACTAGCTAACAGAATGAAGGAAATCAATATTAATAATGATCCCAAATAGGATTCATCCCAGGAATGCAGGGATGGGTTCAACATACACAAAGCAATAAATGTAATACACTGCATTAACAGAATGAACAAAAAATCACAAGACAATCTCAATAGATTCAGAAAAACATTTGACAAAATTCAACATCCATTCACAACTAAAAAAATCCTTCAGAAAATCATAATAGAAGGTCTTTATCACAATGTGATAAAAGGTATCTATGAGAAACCAACAGCCACGATATTATATAGTCAAAATTGAAAGCATTTACTCTAAAATCAGAAGCAACACAAGCATGCCAAGTATCCGCATTCCTATTTAACACAGTTCTGGAAACATTAGCAGAGCAAACAGAAGAGAGAGAGAAATAAAAGTATTAAGGGTAGGAAAGGAAGAAGTTAAATTAGTACTATTCCCAGATGGCATGAGACTCTACATGGAAGACCCCAAAACTCTACCAAAAGACTCACAGTATTAATATCCAAATTCTGTAGTGCATCAGGATAGAAAGTCAACATTCAAAAATCAATAGCATTCATGTACACAAACACCAAACTCACTGAGAGAGAAATTAAGGAAACCACAAATTTCACAGCAGTGTCAAGAAATGAAACACTTAGGAAGCAGCCTAATGAAGCAAGTAAAAGAGCTTTATATTGAAAACTATGACAGACTGAAAAAGCAATTGAAGACGATATCAGAAAATGGAAAGATATTCCTTATTCTTGCATAAGCAGAATCAATACAGTGAGAATAGGTATATTTCGTAAACTGTTATCCAGATTGGATGCAATCCCAATCCAAATATAATTAGCATATCTCACAGAACTAGACAAAAGAATCCTAAAATTCATTTAGAACTAGAAACCTCAAATAGTAAAAGCAATTTTGGACAAACGAGGACATCCCAATCTCTGATTAGAAATGATACTATGACGCTACCATGATAAAAACAGTAAGTTACTGGCAAAAACACACATGAAGATCAATGGAACAGAAATTACTCCAAGCACATTCAGCATCCATATCTTTGACAAAGCGGCCAAATATCTTAACTGGAGGAAAGACAGTCTCTTAGTAAATGGTGCTGGGAAAACTGGCTTTCCACTTGCCAAAGACTAAAACTAGACCCATGTCACCCACCATGCACTAAACCAAAACTGAAGCAGGTCAAAGATATTAATGTCAAAGGGAAACACAATCAGCTGGAAAACAGAATAGGTAAATCTCTTGAAAACATAGAGGCAGGCAAAGACTTTATGAACAAAGCCCAAGCACACAGGGAATTTCCCAGAAAATCAACCAGCAGAGTGACATCATATTAAAAACCTGCTCAGCAAAAGAACCACCAAGAGAGTGAGGAGAGAACCCACAGAATGAGAAAAATGTCTTGCTAGCTGTTCCTCAGAGAAAGGACCCTCTAGAATATGTAAAAACCTGAAAAAATCAGACTCTCAACTTTAAACACACCCAAAACTGGGCATCTGAAACGAATAGACACTGCTCAGATGGAGAAGCACAAACAGCAAGTAAATATACGAAAACAACGTT